CTTGTCCCAAGCTGGTCCACAGTTTACTCAGGTGAGTGATGGATGATTCTTTATTTTCTATCTTCCATTGTACTTTCCAAACCTATCTTTTTTTTAATCAATAACTTTCTTCATCTGTTGCTCAATGAACTCAGGTGTTGCGGGGTATTTATGCTATTAAAGCCCTTCGTTTTTCTACTGCTTTATCCGTTTTAAAGGACGAATTCTTACGTTCTAGAGATTACCCAAGATGCCCTCCAACCTCTCATTTGTTCCATCGATTCCGCCAGTTGGGTTACGCATGTATCAAGTATGCAGATAAGATCATATTTCTCTTTTTGTTCTCTTTGTTGCGGGCAGAAGATGTTGATTCAGTACCTAAAAATTCATTGTTTCTTAGTACTGGGTCTGCATTAGCATTCTTCCCTTTGGATTTTGTTTTCTTTAATCTTATCTTCTTTGCTTATATTTATCCTATTGTTTGAATTCATTTTCTACCGAGAAGGCTTGGTCGCTTTTGGTCATATGCTGCTTTAAATGCTTCTTAAAAAAATCAAATGAATTGTGGTTCCCTCGTTACTGTATTGGAACTTGTAAAAATTCCCTTTTACTGCTATAGTAACTGAGTTAAGCTTGCAGGTTTGGTCAGTTCGATAGTGCCAAAGAAACTTTTGAAGTTATAGCAGACAATGAAAGCATACTCGATTTGTTTATCTGCCACCTTAACCCCAGTGCATTACGTCGTTTAGCTCAAAAATTGGAAGAGGATGGCACAGATTCTGAACTGAGGCGATATTGTGAACGAATTTTAAGAGTCCGCTCTACAGGATGGACACAAGGAATTTTTGCTAATTTTGCTGCTGAGAGCATGGTTCCCAAAGGTCCAGAATGGGGTGGTGGAAACTGGGAAATCAAAACTCCTACCAATTTGAAGGCTATACCTCAATGGGAACTGGCTGCAGAAGTGTTGCCATATATGAAAACTGACGATGGTTCTATACCTTCAATTGTTGCTGATCATATTGGTGTTCACCTTGGCTCAGTTAAAGGTAGAGGCAATATTGTTGAAGTAGTCAGTGAGGACAGCCTGGTCAAATCTTTTACACCTGCTGGTGGAAGTGTTGATAAGTCCTCTGGGCTCCAAACACCTTTAGCAAAATCCATTTCCAACAAATCCAAAGCATCTTCTGATGGTGAGCCAAAGGATAATTTGATGGGATTGGAAACTCTTATGAAACAATCTTCCAGTTCAACATCTGCAGATGAACAAGCTAAAGCAGAAGAAGAATTCAAGAAAACGATGTACGGTACGGCTAATGATGGGAGCAGTAGTGATGAAGAGAATGTTTCAAAAGCTCGAAAGCTACATATTAGAATACGAGATAAACCAGTTACATCTCCAACGGTTGATGTGAAAAAGATTAAAGAAGCTACAATGCAATTTAAACTTGGGGAAGGATTTGGTCCACCCTTTAGCAGAACCAAGTCTTTGACTGGTAACACCCAAGACCTTGTGCAAAATTTATCCCAACCTCCTGCTACAGCTGCTTTAACAGCTCCAGTCGTTTCTGCTGCCCCGTCTGATCCTTTTGGTACCAATTCATTGATGCCGCCACCAGTACCAGTGTTGCAGCCTCCATCCCAGGGCACCACGGGTGTAGGAGTTGCGGCCAGACCCATTCCAGAGGACTTTTTCCAAAATACAATTCCTTCTTTTCAGATTGCAGCTTCCCTTCCTCCTCCTGGTACTTACCTTTCACAGTTAGATCCTTCTTCCCGTGGAGTTGAGACCAACAAGGTCTCTTCCAACCAGGTTAATGCACCTGGAGTTAATGTTGACCTTCCAGATGGTGGTGTTCCCCCTCAAGTCACCCAGCAACCAGCTGTGCCATTTGAATCAATCGGACTACCTGATGGTGGGGTACCACCACAGACCTTGGGTCAGGCTTCTGCCATACTGCCTTCAGTTCAGCCAGTTCAACCAGCTCAGCCTTCACTTCCCTCACAGCCTCTTGATCTCAGTGTCCTAGGAGTTCCAAATTCTGTTGACGCTGGAAAGCCTCCTCCACCTCAAGCAACTTCTGTTCGACCTGGACAGGTTCACAAATCTACAATTGTTTATATGCTCCATTATGTGCATCGCCATCCTTCTTCTCTAGCCCTAACAGTAGCGTTCCATCTATTGTCATAGTTTCTTTCTTCTTAATCAATTTCAACCTTAATTTGCTAATGCAGGTTCCCCGTGGCGCTGCTGCTTCAGTATGCTTCAAGACTGGGCTAGCGCATCTAGAACAGAATCATCTTTCAGATGCTTTGTCGTGCTTTGATGAAGCTTTTCTTGCACTTGCCAAAGACCATTCTCGTGAAGCTGATATTAAAGCTCAGGCAACCATATGTGCGCAGTACAAGATAGCTGTTACTCTTCTTCAGGTAACTGTTATTTTTATTCTGTCTATAAATGATTTCTGAGGTCCTTCAGTACCCTAATTGTTTTCTGGCGATTAAAATTTTGGCTAGTTGAATAAAAGCAAATGACTATTAATGTTATAGCATCCCAGACCATGATTAATTTCATTTTCTGCAGGAAATCGGACGATTACAAAAAGTCCAAGGTCCAAGTGCACTGAGTGCGAAAGACGAGATGGGCAGGCTATCACGCCATCTGGGTTCTTTGCCTCTTCTGGCAAAGCATCGAATAAATTGCATTCGAACTGCCATAAAACGTAATATGGAGGTTCAGAATTACTCTTATTCTAAACAGATGCTTGAACTTCTCTTCTCCAAAGCTCCTGCAAGTAAGCAAGCTGAATTGAGGAGCCTCATTGACATTTGTGTTCAAAGGGGTTTAATGAATAAGTCCATTGATCCAATGGAAGATCCCTCTATGTTCTGTGCTGCCACGCTCAGCCGACTGTCAACCATTGGTTATGATGTATGCGATCTTTGTGGAGCTAAATTCTCAGCTCTAACTTCTCCTGGATGCATTATCTGTGGCATGGGAAGCATAAAAAGATCAGATGCTCTTGCAGAACCTGTACCTTCTCCGTTTGGCTAAAATAAAAATAATTCGAGATGAACTTTCATGATTCAAAGCGGATGCAACAGAATGCATTTGAAGAACTGTTGAGTTGTTTTTGTATTGTGTTATATAGTTTGTATGTGTTTTTTTGTTTTGATCATCACTGTTTTAGTTTGTTACATATAAATTCTTTACATTTTTATTTTTTTTTACTTTTATGGTTAGTGATGGGTAGAGTTGGGTTTAGCTTTGTACAATTGTACTATTGTGATTAAAGGCTATAGTGGTACTGATTTTTTCTTCCTCTTTTATGTTGGAGGATGAAAGTCTCAATTTGGTTAATTTAGGTAATGATCATGAGTTTATAATCAAGGAGTACATCAGCCCAAAGCAAAGTCATGACAATATCATAACATTGTAGAGAGTTGTTCGTCTAACACTTTATACAATTGTACTAATGCGCATCCTATTTGTGGTATGGATAGGGAGGAGTGTGTTTTCTTAAAATTTTACGAAAGGAAGGAAAATATTTAGATGTGTGTTATTTATTAACAATAACTTTAACGTTTAGTCATTTGGGATGTTGTGATGCAGAACATTCACGAACTTCACATGGCACTAAAGTTAAATTCATGCATGCCACAAATCTCATCAATAGATTTGATATTTTTAGTATCGATTTATTAGTCACCAAATATTATAAGCTATATATATATATATATATATATATATATATATATATATAT